AATGCTGTTGTAAAGTTTTTTAAACAGAAAAAAATTTCTGGAATGGCATTCCAAGTCCTCAATAGTTCGTTTTCGACACTTCTCTCCGGTACTCCTATCTCTAATCACTTTTTTTCAATGTTTTCCAAGTCAACTCTAAGGTCAATAAATTTCTGCTTCCAAATTGAGCTACTCTGAAATTCAATCAACTGCATTTCAAAGTCAACCATGTCTATCCATGAAAACATTTGTAAGTTTAGTTCCTCCAGTTTCATGCTGTCTGGAAACCTCATGAATTTTGCTGTCTCTTCCAGTTCTCTGAATTTCACAAATCTTGAGAAGAACTGCTCAATAGTTGACTCGATGATGTTTAAAAACAGTTTTTGAAGGCTTTGACAGTCTGTTGTCATTTGGGAAATACCTAAATCTCTCACCATCTACATCCCTCTTAAAGACTTCGAGTTTCTTTTCAAAAGCCTTTATGTAACCAAACATAACATCAAGCGTCTTGCCAGTTCCTTGTAATTTAACATTTAAGTAATTCAAATGTTCACAAAAATCTGCAAAGAAAATCAGTTTAGAAACCCACGTGGCGTCAGACAATTCTTGGTAAGAAACATGTTGGTTATTCAAGAAGAGCATTATCTTGCTTAACCATTCAACGAATCGTTTCAGAACCAAACCTTGGCTAAGCCATCGAACATTGTTGTACATTTTCAGTCCTTTATACACAGATTCTACCTCATTCAGTAAAACTTGAAATTGTCTTTTATTTAAAGCCTGAGCAGAAATGTAATGAACAACTTTGGTAACTGTTTGCATCACTTCCTGCAGTTCCTTCAGGCCAGCTTTTGCACATAAAGCCTCCTCATGTATGATGCAATGAACACCTATCAGTGTATGACCAATTTCTTTCGCAAACAGATTTACAAAACCTGCCTTCTCACCAGTCATGCAAGGAGCACCATCAGTGGTGACAGATACTACTTTTGAAATGTCAATTTGTCAAGAAGAGAATTCGTTCATAACTGCTTTACATATTTCAGCCCTGGTAGTATGCTCAGGTAGAGTTAGAAGGGCAACCATCTCTTCACATATTTCATCATCTTTACAAAGTTGAGAAAAAATGGCCAGCCTAGATGATGATGTAATGGCTGTACTTTCATCAATACAAACAGAAAAAAAATGACATGGAGACAAATCTTTTGTTAATTGTTCAGCAGTATTACTTGCCAACTTAAGTATCTTATCCTTAACTGCTTTCCTGCTCACGGACAAATCTTTAACGTGCTGAATAATCTTTTCTTTTTCTGAGAGGGTTTCACATACCAGCAAAAGTTACTGGCGTGCCATGTTTGGCACGCATGCCAGGGGTTTCCCACCCCTGCTCTACTCCAACAAACTGGACAACCTTGACGAAATGAACATATTCCTAGAAAAATACAAGCTTCAAAAACTCAATCAGGAAGAATCAAAAAACCTGAATAGGCCGATAACTACTGATGAAATTGAAACAGTAATAAAAAAATTTCCAGAAAACGAAAGCCCTGGACTGCATGGCTTCACAGGGGAGTTTTATCAAACATTCAAAGTAGAACTAAAACCTATCCTTCTCAGACTATTCTAAAAAATGCAAGAGGAAAGCATACTTCCAAGCTCTTTCTATGAAGCCAGCATTACCCTAATCCCAAAACCAGATAAAGACACTACAAAGAAAGAGAATTACAAGCCAATATCCCTGATGAAGTGGGATTTATTCCAGGGATGCAAGGATGGTACAATATCCACAAATCAATAAATGTGATACATCACATAAACAAATTAAGAGACAAAAATTACATAATCATATCAATTGATGCAGAAAAGGCATTTGACAAAATCCAACACCCTTTCAGATAAAAACTCTCAGCAAAGTGGGAATAGAGAGACCATACCTCAACATAATAAAAGCCTTATATGACAAACCTACAGCTAACATCATACTCAATGGGCAAAAACTAAAACCATTTCCCCTAAGAGCAGGAACAAGGAGAGGGATGCTCACTTTCACCACTCCTATTCGACATAGTACTGAAAGTGCCACCCATAGTGATCAGACAAGAAGAAATAAAAGGCATCCAAATTGAAAAGGAAGAAGTAAAATTGTCCTTATTTGCAGATGGCATGATATTATACATAAAAAACCCTAAAGACTCCATCAAAAAACTATTAGACTTAATAAATGAATTTGGCAATGTACCAGGATACAAAATTAACACCAAGAAATCTGTGGAATTTCTATACACCAATAGTGAACTTACAGAAAGAGAGACTAAAAAAACAATCCCATTTACCATCGCACCAAAAAAATTAAGAAATCAGGAATAAACTTAACCAAGGAGGTAAAGGATCTGTACTCAGAAAATTACAGGATGCTGAAAAAAGAAATAGAGGAAGACATAGGTAGAACCAACATCATTAAAATAATCATACTACCCAAAGCAATCTATAGATTCAATGCACTCCCCATTAAAATACCAATAGCATTTTTTTTTTCCCTTAGGGGAGAGCGCGAACGCAGTCCCCCACTACCACAAATTATGCAGTCGAGTTTCCCACATTTGGGGAAATCGCAGGGGTCAGCACATCCTGAGTGCAATGGATAAGCCTCGCCCTGGGAAAACCACCTTCGTGATCATGGTATCTCCCCTGCCAGGTAAGTATCCAATAGCATATTTCAAAGACCTAGAACAAACTCTCCAAAAATTCATTTGGAATAAAAAAAAGACCCCGAATAGCTGCAGAAATCTTGAGAGAAAAGAACAAAGTTGAAGGGATCACAACACCAGATATCAAGCTATACTACAAAGCCACTGTTCTCAGTACTGCCTGGTACTGGCACAAGAACAGATATATAGACCAATGGAACAAAACAGAGAACCCAGAAATTGACCCAAGCCATTATGCCCAATTAACATTTGACAAAGGAGGCAAGAGCATACAATGGAGTCAAGACAGTCTCTTCAATAAAGGTGTTGGGAAAATTGGACAGATACATACAAAAAAATGAAACTAGATCACCAACTCACACCATACACAAAAATAAACTCAAAATGGATAAAGGACTTAAACATAAGATGGGAAACCATAAAAATCTTAGAAGAAGCTATAAGCAGCAAAACAGCAGACATTTGTTGTAGCAATGTCTTTACCAATATAGCTCCTAGGGCAATGGAAACTAAGGAGAAAATAAACAAATGGGACTACATCAAAATAAAAAGGTTTTACACAGCAAAAGAAACCATCAACAAAACAACAAGAAAGCCCAATGCATGGGAGAACATATTTGCCAATGTTATTTTCAATAAGGGTTAAATCTCCAAAATTTATAGGGAACGCATACATCATAATAAAAGGAAGATCCAATCAAAAAATGGGCCAAGAACCTAAATAGACACTTTTTGAAAGAGGATATAGAGAAGGCCAAGAGATAGATGAAAACATGCTCAAAGTCACTAATCATCTAAGAGATGCAAATCAAAACAACAATGAGGTACTATCTCACACCTGTCAGAATGAGTATCATCAACAAATCAACAAATGTTAAGTGCTGGCGAGGATGTGGAGAAAAAGGAACCCTCTTTCACTGCTGGTGGGAATGCAGACTGGTGCAGCCACTGTGGAAAACTGTATGGCGTTTCCTCAAAAAATTAAAAATGGAACTTCCATTTGACCCAGTAATACCACTTCTAGGACTATATCCCAAGAAAACAGAAACACCAATCAGAAAGGATGTATGCACCCCTATGTTCAGAGCAGCACAATTTATAATAGCTAAGATTTGGAAACAGCCTAAGAGCCCATCAGCAGATGAGTGGATTAGAAAACTGTGGTACATATACACAATGGAATACTAGACTGCTGTAAAAAAAAAAAAAAGTAATTCTTACCATTTGCAATAGCATGGATGGAACTGGAGAGCATTATGCTAAGTGAAATAAACCAGTCAGAGAAGGATAAATATCACATGATCTAACTCATTTGTGAAATAAAATGAATAATATAAACTGATGAACAAAAACAGAACCAGAGTCATAGAAGCATTGAACAGAATGTCCAACCTATGAGGGAAGGCAGAGGGTGAGGGGGTAAGAGATCAACCAAAGGACTTGTATGCATGCATATGAGCATAATCAATGCACACAGACAGTAGGGGTGTGAGGGCATGTGCTGGGGTGGGAGCAGCCAGGGAGAGGTCAATGAGGGAAAAAGGAGACTTATGTAATACTTTAAATAATAAGAAATTAATCATAAAAAATAAAAAGATAAAAATAAAATAAAAACATATCCAGTACTCATGAGTAGGTTTTCCTTCTTTTCAAGTAAAAACACAGAAAACTGACTGGAGGAAATATTCCAGAATGTTAATAATGGCTAAGTATGGGTGATAAGACTATTTGTGATGGTAAGTTTTCTGTAGTTTTATAAACTTAAAAAAAACTCACACTTGTTTTCTACCAAGAACTATGCTGGGACTATAGTACATGCAACAAAGATAAGACGTGCCCTTTGAGAGTTTCCAAAGGAGTAGGCAGAAACTGTCTGCAAAGAGTCAAGGAATAGACAAGGCTGAACTACAACATTAATGTCATTCAAGTACAAATGTGATATACCCTTCTTCTACATTTACTCATGTTCCTGTCCCCATCAACAGTCAATACTCCCTTGCTGAGAAGTGAAAAGAGAAACCCTGTGAACATTGTAAAATACATCAGAGGAAGAACTCAAAAGTGTCCTGGTAAAGGTTACTATTAAGGTAATAGAATAAAAAGACATCAGAAAATTAAGAAATTACATTTGAAAGAAAATTCTAGAAAACATATAGCACTTAATTTTCTATGTGACATAAATTCTTCAAGACCTATGTAGCTACTCATTAACTAGTTCCAAAAGACAATGGATTTGCTGATTGTAATTTTCTTTGAATTCTAATCAATGGATACTGTAAGAACAGAGCTCCCTCATCCCAATGCTCAGCTTACCAAAGAAGGATGCCATCTGCAAGTGATTTGAAAAGACTGCCATCACTGGGATTCATGGGTAGGAGATGCTTACAGTCAGGGTCATTCTCCAGGGCCTTGTTTATCCAGTTAACAAATGCCACTTTTTCTTCCTCTGAAAACAGAAAATCTCAGTAGCAAAGCTCATTTCACAAAATTCATTGCACTATTAAAACATTTCTGTTCAAAGATTATAAATTCCAATTATTAGAACTCTACTAAAACACTAAAAGCTTTAATAAAAGGAGAAGGGGGAATTCATTCCAGTTTTTCATCTGCTATATTAGGGAGGAGTACGATATATAAATTAAATGAGCACAATAAACATTCAGTTTTATTCTGTAATCTTTCCAAATATATATTGCTTCAAAGAGTGTATGGATCAGAAGCCAACCATCAAAGGTCAGATACACACACACATGCACACATACACACACACCAGGGGAAAAGTACAAGAAATAAATATCACATTAATATGGTCCACCTGCCATCATCCCTGAAAAATTTAGAGTTGTTATTTGGGGCTTACAACAGAAATACTGAATTTAATCAAGAATTATTCAAATGAATAAAATAGGTCAATTTTTGTGAAATTTCTGTAAGAAAACTGATACAAATCTAGATACCAATACTACTCCCAGCCACTTTCATTGTCATCTACTTCACACATGGATTCTAGCATGAATAACTTGATCTTTAAACAGAATGTTGTGTTGATGCAATGGGAAAAATAGGAAGGAACTTAAAGAAAAGTGTCCTGTTGCTTTATTGTTATTATGTAAATATAAAAATCATTTAACAATATAGACCCTAAAAGGAAATAATTCCCGTTTCCATCACTGGATAACATATAGTAAGCTGAACTTCCTCATTTTTGCCCCAGTTCCTAGAATTAGGCAGTTTTCCTAATTTTGGCAGGTAACCCCCAAATTTAATCCAACACACACACGCACACACACAGGGATGGGAGGCATGGGCAGAGAGAATAAAAAAGACCCAAACATTTACTAGTACTTCTCTTTTGCACATATCAAAATCTGCCTTCTTATCTCCTTGCCTCACCATACCTCCCCATGGTCTTAGAGTCTAGGGCACAGGTGAGGAACGTCCAGCCTACAGGCCATATAAGGCCCAAGAAATTATTTGGTCTGACCCTGCCAAGGCATTAGGCGTGAGTTAATTAAATGTTTGACCAAATATAGCAGGCTAATTTTTAAATTGATAATTTTGTATGGCCCACAAATGATGTTATAAATACCCAAATGGTCCTTGGCAGAAGAAAGGTTCCCTAATCCTAGGTATTTAAAGAACACTAAGATATTATCTATACTAATAAAAGGGTAATGTGCTAATTAGACCAGATGTCCTTCCCAAAGACTTCTGGATGAAGCCGGGGCTGCGAGAGATGCCTGAGTCCCAGGTGCAGGAAGGAAGCCTGGGTCCTGGATGCCAGAGGGAGGCTGGTGCTGGCAGCTAGGGGAAATAAGGCCTACTCTTGCATGAATTTTGTGCATCGGGCCTCTAGTAGATAATGATAAGATAAAACAGATATATAAGGAAATGCATCATAAGGGAAATAAACACATCACAAGAGAGATATAAGCAATGTTTTAGAGAATTTTAAAAAAGAAATGATCACTTCTGGTTGGGATGAATCAAGTAAATGTTTTATGGAAAAGGTACTATTTCAAAGATTTTTAATATGTGAAGATAGGCAGGAAAAGGGAGGATGTTTCAGATACAGGAACCAGAAATGAGAAACGGTTTCATACCATGACAATGACTATAATAACGAAAATGGACAAGTGTTGGAGAAAAGTGAAGACACTGGAACTCCCATACATGGCTTATGGGAATGTAAAATGCTGCAGATACTTTGGAAAACAGGTTGGCAGGAGTTTTTTTTGTTTTGTTTTGTGGTTTTATTTTTGTAATGCTAAACAGAGTTACCACATGGCCTGGCAATTCTACCCTCAGATGTATATCTAAGAGAATTCAAGCACAAGTCTACAGAAAAGTGGAGACACAAACTTTCATATGGCATCATCATAAAAGCCAAAAAGTAGAAACAACCCAAATGTCTGTCAACTAATGAATGAATAAACAACATTCTCCACAGAATAGCAACAAAAAGGAATGAAGCACAATTAATGCTACAACAATAGAAATGAAGTACAATATGAATGATCTTTGCAAATGTTATGCCAATGAAGAAGCCTGTCAAGTGAGAGGATACTACTGTATAATTCCATTTATATGAAATTTCCACAATAGGCAAGTCTATAGAAATAGAAAGTTGATTCATGGCTGCCAGAGGCTGGGCAAGGAGAAATGGGGAGTAACTGCTAAAGAGCATGGAATTTCTCCTTGGAATAGTTAAAGGATTATAGATTAGACAGTGAAGATCACTGAACAATTATGAATATACTAAAATCTACTGAACTGTATACTTAAAAAGGGCAAATTTTATGCTATCTCAATTATATCTCAATGCAGCTGTTCTTTTTTTAAAAAAGCCATTAAATATTCTATATCTTGTTCTAGATAATGGTTACATGGGTGTACTCATATGTAAAAAATGTCAAATCATATACTTAAGTAAATAACTTTATGTTCTTTATTATGTGTATCTTATCTACACTAACAAAAGACAAAGATACTAATTGACCATACCTTCGCTATGCCCTAAGCCACGCCCACCAGCCAATCAGAGCAACTATATGCAAATTAACCCAACCAAGATGGTGGCCAGCAGCCATGAGGCTGGAGCAAGCAGGAGGCTTGGTTGCCTGGGCAATGGAGGAAGCCAAGCTTCCTGCCTGCCCTGAGCCAGCTGTGGCCTCCGCTTATGGCAACAAAATTTCAATTATAGAGGACAAATAAATCCCAGATACTTGCTTCCAGCCAGCCTCCACTGGGAGCTTGGGTGGCTGGGGGCTGTGGCCAGCATGCAAATGCCCATCAGTCCCTCACCCAGGATGACCACACCATCATGGGGTGACAGTCCCCGCTGGGGGGCTTGGCCAGCCTGCAAACAGCCATCAGCCCCTCACCCAGGCTGGCCACACCCTCATGGGGTGAGGGTCCCCGCTGGGGGGCTTAGCCAGCCTGAAAATGCACCCCCCCAGCCCCTCACCCAGACTGGCCAGGTACCCCAGCAGGACTCCCCACCCAGAAGGGGCTGTGGCCAGCCTGCAAACAGCCATCAGCCCCTCACCCAGGCTGGCCACACCCTCATGGGGTGAGGGTCCCCACTGGGGGGCTTAGCCAGCCTGAAAATGGCCCTCAGCCCCTCAACCAGGATGGCCAGGCACCCCAGGTGGGACCCCCACCCTGAAGGGGCTGTGGCCAGCCTGCAAACAGCCATCAGCCATGCACCCAGGCTGGCCACACTCTCATTGGTTGAGGGTCCCCGCTAGGGGGCTTGGCCAGCCTGCAAACTGCCATCAGCCACTCACCCAGATTGGCCAGACACCCCAGCAGGACCCCCTACCCCCCGGCCCCGACCCTGAAGGGGGTGTGGCCAGCCTGAAAATGGGCCTCAGCCCCTCACCCAGGCTGGCCAGGCACCCCAGTGGGGACCCCCACACTGAAGGGGCTGTGGCCAGCCTGCAAACAGCCATCAGCCCCTCACCCAGGCTGGCCAGGCACCTCAGGGTGGACCCCCACCCTGAAGAGGTTGTGGCCAGCCTGCAAACAGCCATCAGCCCTTCACCCAGGCTGGCCAGGCACTTCTATATAATAAAAGGGTAATATGCAAATTGACCCTAACAGCAGAACGACTGGGAATGACTGGTCACTATTACACACACTGACCACCAGGGGGAAGATGCTCAATGCAGGAACTGCCCCTTGGTGGTCAATGTGCTCCAACAGGGGGAGCTCTGCTCAGCCACAAGGCAGGCTGATGGCTGCCAGTACAGCGGTGGTGGTGGGAGCCTCTCCCGCCTCCTCAGCAGCACTAAGGATGTCCGACTTCAGCTTAGGCCTGCTCCCCGCTGGCAAGTGGACATCCCCTGAGGGCTCCCAGGCTGCCAGAGGGATGTCTGACTGCCAGCTTAGGCCCAATCCCCCAGGGAGTGGGCCTAAGCCAGCAGGTAGTCATTCCCCGAGGGGTCCCAGACTGCGAGAGGGCACAGGCTGGGCTGAGGGACCCCCCCCTGAGTGCACAAATTTTTGTGCACTGGGCCTCTAGTACCTTAATAAAAAACTAATAAAAGGTACAGTGATAGAAATCAGAAAAGTGGTTACCTCTAGGGAGGACTAGTTACTGTTAGACATGAGGGAACTACTCAGGAGATAGAAGTGTTCCATCTTGATCTGGCAGGCAGCTACATGGATTTTGCTACAGGATATATATATATATATATATATATATATATATATATATATACACATATATGCACACATACATATACATATACATATACATACATACACTACATGCAAATATTCATTTAAAGATTTCAGCGCTTTTCTAAATGTACATATTACCTCAATTAAAAGGTTTTTTTTAAAAAAGGAAGAAGTCTTTTCCTTAGAATGGACAGACAGAAATAGAGTAAAAAAGTATATACCTTTTAAAAAATGGAGATAACAATTATAGATCACTGCCTTCACCACTACACTACCCCACTGGGAAAAGATTAGGAAAAAAATACAACTGGTGGGAGAAGTGCAAGTATATTATCAGAGGAAAATCCAGTTAGAAAGGAAAAGAACCAAGAGGATACTAACAGATTTAACTCACAAAGAAAGGGAAAGAAGTTACAGCGAATTTTTGTAAAAAATTTTAAAGCATTTACTAATTATGTTATGTTAATGTGAACAAATGGAATTTTGCCAAAGGTTCTTAAATATCTTGACCCTGAGAGGTAAGCTTAACGTGGGGCAAGGCCTCTCATCTTAGGAGTTACTGCCACTCTCGATTTCTCACTGGGCAACAGCCCAGTGATTCTATCAGATCAGTCAGGTACGGGGCTCTCTAGTCACTGGCTGTTTGATAAAAGATCAGTCAGGAATCTCAGCTCCCAGAAAATGGAAAGAGAAAGTCCTTCCAACAAACCTCTTCACATGTTCCTAGATCAGGTCTAAAGGAAAACTCACACCACCAGTCAGGATGAAGAAGTCATTCAAAGATTATGATTAAACACACTCAATGCTGAAAATAAATGATACTTTTATTGTTTCTAAAACACCTGACACATAGCAAGAAATTATTGATTTCTATGAGTTTAGGATTTTTCATTTTGACATCTCTGAAATTAAGAGGCATTTCTGATTTTTCCTCAAAGGTACATAAAACAATGGTGTGAATTATAATAAATGGCATCTTAGATTCGATGAATATGAGACTTGTTGAATGAATCAATGACTAAAAGGTCAAATGTGGAGTGAGAAATTACCTGAATAGGAATGCTGTGTGCCCTCACTGGAAATGGACGAAGTTCCTCCAATAGCAGTAATCCCTTCCCTCTTGTTAATTATTTTTCGGAATGTTTTGCTGATGTCTTTGCTTTTTAACTCTTGCATTAGCTGGAATGGGATAAAAGTAAAATGAGTCTTCATCAGATAATCATAGAAAACCTTGCAACATGAAGGAAAATTATTTAGACTTCTTTATTTATTTGGAATGACATCAAAATAAATACTAACAGATAACTCACAGGTCATTTTACCAATAACAAAGAATGGACAAATGTTTGCATGCCAACCACTAGAAAAAAATGTTGTTATAATTAAGTTTAAATTGAACACATTGAAATTATTCTTCTGGATTTGCCATGATCTGTTATGCTGAAACTAAAGAATAACTACATGCTAGAGTTATGTTTCCTTTTTTTTTTTTTTTAATCCCCACCTCAGGACATGCTTAGAGAGAGGGAGGGAGAGAGAGAGAGGGAGGAAAAGAGAGAGAGAGGGAGAAGGATGGAGAGAAAAACATCAGAGTTTTCTCGATGCAGTCCAACTGGGGGACAAACGTGAAACCCAGGCCTGTGCCCTGCCTAGAAATGGAAACGTCAACCTTTTGGTGCCTAGGAAGACACCAAATCAACTGAGCCACACTGGCTGGGCTACATGATAGAGTTTAAAATGTCTTAATGAAGGTGTTGTCTTGTCTGGCCATCTTCAATGTATATATGTCAGTGTAAGTTAGCTCTTGTAGGAAATAGCATAAGCTTAGAGAAACACACTCCCAACCACCCTCTCACTGGATTTTCTAGAGGTCAGTTAGACTGAATTCAACCAGTTCTTCAAGTAGCACCAGAATGAGTTTTTAAAAATGCAGATCTGATCATGTCACCTCACACTCTATTTTTCCCATATCACTGGCTTAATATTGCACTTAGGCTAAAAACAAACACCCTGCAGGATCCTGTAGAACCTGACCCTGACTTACTTCTCTAGGGAATTCCTTTTCCCTTAACCACCTCAGCTCCAGCCACTCAGCTTCTTTTCCCCAGGTGAGAGCATCAATGTTGGCAATGGCAACAACCCAGTCATCTCTCTTGGCCTGAGAGGTTTGAAGTACATAATCTTCAATATTCAGTTCTACAATCTATTTTTCTTTTATTGGTTGAGCCATATGTTATATTTCATCTTGTTTAGTTCTTTGAGCCTTGAGGTAGTTTAACAATGAAATAATGCTCGCAGAGCTAGCATCAACATTTACCTGGCCCTACTGAAACTGAGGTGTAACTGACCACAAGGAAACAACCAGTTTCTAGAAAGTATAGCTTAGCTATACTTTCAGTTTAAAAAATATTCCATTTCTCAAGGCCAAATAATAACAGTAAATATTCTACACACAGAGACAGTCATTGAGCAATGAACGCAACTATAGTTTTACTAGGGCATAAACTGTTATTGTTCTCTATGCCGGACTTCCGCTTGAGAATGACTTTTTCTTTTGTTTTATTAATTATTTATTTTATTAATTATCATTTCATTAATTATGTGTGGACAACCCATTGTAGTTATCATCATCAATTTTAAAGCAGCACCATTTATGGTCCCTGCAGCTATATTTAAGCAAAGAGACAATGACGTTATTAAAATTTTTCTCAAAGCAATATATTCAGTAGCCAAGAGAGGATTAGATTACTTACGGACACAAATTCTTCAAAACTGATTTTGCCATCTTTGTTGTTGTCAGCAACTGCTAAAATTTTCTCCACGATCTCTCGGACTTTGTAGCCAGGCAGAGGAAGGCTTGCTTCCTTAAATAGGTCCTGAAGTTCATAGTCACTGACATACCCACTGTTGTCAATATCTGTAAGATAAATTATGAGCTGTCAAATATCAATTGTACTCTGTTGGAGAGGTGCATTCAGATGGCTGTTTGGGAGATTCACAGGCAAGCAGAACCTTTTAGGTTTGTTTTGCTAGTGGCAGTAATATTTTCTCCTGCACCTGAACTGTGCAATGTAAAAACTCATATTCAGCCGTAACCGGTTTGGTTCAGTGGATAGAGTGTCGACCTGCAGACTGAAAGGTCCCAGGTTTGATTCCGGTCAAGGGCATGTACCTTGGTTGCGGGTACATCCCCAGTAGCGGGTGTGCAGGAGGCAGCTGATTGATGTTTCTCTCTCATCGATTTTTCTCACTCTCTATCCCTCTCCCTTCCTCTCTGTAAAAAATAAATAAAATATATTTTTAAAAAAAACTCATTCAAATGCACTTTTCCCCCATAGGTTTAGGACTACCATACATATTTTAAGTGCATAATACGGATACTGCCCTGATAGATGAAAACTCAGGTGTAGCACATGACTAAGCTTCAAAGAACTAAGTATTTGGAAGTCTCAGATATCTAGAAGAAAAATACAGCATCAATGGTCACAAGGGAACACCCGCCAGACTTTAACTTCTTTACGGAATTACAGAAGGGGTCTGCTGGACCCACACTTCATATAAACTATGTATGTGTAAAATATACAAGGCATTCCTGGCCTACATTTCTCTTGGTAGAGTTCTGTTTCATTGTCAATAATTCACTGCTTCTTCGTAATGTATTGCTGATACCATGATGTAGGCTGAATCATGTTGGATATTATTTTTGAGTTTAAGTGTTCAAGAAATTATTTCACACCTATTTGGACTTTTGGAAATAGGTTCCCTGTCATTTTCATATCATCACTGAAATACTCTCCCCTGGGTTTTCCCTAGAGACCGCATGTCACTTGTTGACACAGAACAAAAGTGACATAAAACACTTCTGCCAAGGGTTGGCAACAGAGCTCTGGAGTGTTTGGTTAGTTGCCTGGATATACCAGAACCTTGTATAGGCTATTGTGGCACATTTGGTAATGGTTGCTTTGGTTCATATATATTTTTTTCCTCTAAGTAAAAGAGCTGCCCTCACTATAACTGAATTAATTATAAAGACAGAAACTTTTAAAGTCTCATGCATGAGTTTCCAGAATTAATACTCTTCAGAACAATGAAAAAAATTTCTAAACTTGAACCTACCAATAACAAAAACATTACTGTATCTCAGAAGTCAGTTAACAAGCTAAATTGCTCACTATTGTAATAATTAATACTGCTTTCTTTGAATTCAGATAGAAATTAATTATTTACTACTAGAAGCCCAGTGCACGAAGATTCACCTCAGCCCGACCTGCATCCTTTCCAATCTGGGAGCCCTCTCCAATCCGGGAATTTCTGTCTGTCTTTGCAATCATAGGAGCGAATTGTTTGAGACCCCCAACCAAGTTTGGTTTGTTGCTCACAGAATAGAGGCTTTTTTTTTTTTTTCTCTTTGCTTCATTGGTGGAGATTTCCTGGAAGTTTTAGGATATCTTCCCTTTAATTTTTCCTAGACACTGATTTTACTTACGTCTCTCACCTTTGCTTTCCCTCCATCCCCCACCACAACAGTAACTTGCTCCAGGCTCACTTTGCTCTAGTGTCTAGGAGATCCGTCTGCCACCAGAACTACGATTCCTAGCATTCCTGGTGCTCCCCACGCTCTTGGTTTTCCCTTCCTGTTCTGTCTCCATCCCATGGCCTCCCACTCTGCCAAGTCCTTCAAGCCGCCAGCTCTTCCTCTCTGCTCTCCATCTGGTGGCTTGGGAGCCAAGTTCCCCAAGCCGTTCCACACTGCTCTGCTATCTGCCCAGCAACTTGGGGAGCGTGGCTCCCTCGGTTGCTGGGAGCGACCGAGGGAGCCACATCCCCCCAAGCCGCCGGCTCTCCTGAGCTGCTCTCTGCCCAGCGGCTTGGGGGAGCAACTGAGGGAGCCACGTCCCCCCAAGCTGCCAGCTCTCCCACTCTGCTCTCTGCCCAGCACCTGTGTATGCAAATTAACCTGTCATCTTTGGCAGGTTAATTTGCATACTCACTTCTGATTGGCTGGTGAGCGTAGCAGAGGGATGGTCAATTTACCTCTTTCTCTTTTATTATATAGGATATCACCATATACTCATTATTTAGTATATCATCATTTCAGAATTGTTTCCTATAATTCTGCAATGGAAAAATAAACTAGGCTGGCTTACTTCTGTACTGTGGTAGGGAGTACTATAAAATAAAAAGGAGCTCTGTCCAGGTGGCTCAGTTGGCTGGAGTGTCGACCCATACACCAAAAGACTGCGGGTTCGATTCCCAGTCAGGGCACATACCTAGATTGCAGGTTCAATCCCTAGTCAGGGCACATACAGGAGGCCCAACTGTCTCTCTCTGTCTCTTTCTCAAAATCAATATACACATCCTTGGGTGAGAATATATATATATATATACTAGAGGCCGGGTGCAAGACATTCATGCACAGGGGGTGGGGGTGTCCCTCAGCCTGGCCTGTGCCCTCCCACCACTGCTGCTATGTTCGCCAGCCCTGAGCCCTGCTTCTGACTGAGCAGTGCTCCCTCCCCCGTGTGGGAGGGCACTGAGCACCAGGGGGCAGCTCCTGCATTGAGCATCTACTCCCTGGTGGTCAGTGTGCATCTTAGTGACCGGTCATTTCGCCATTTGGTCGATTTGCATATTAGCTTTTATTTTATATATATATAATATATATATATATATATATATATATATACACACACACACACACACACACACACACACACACACACACACATATATATAATTTATTATATGTATGCACGGGGGCAGGGGGTCCCTCAGCCTGGCCTGTACTCTCTCCAATCCAAAACTTCTCGGGGATGTCCAGCTGCCACAGGGTTCGAGCCTAAACCGGCAATCGGACATCTCTCTCGCAATCCAAGACTGGTGGCTCCTAACCGCTCATCTGCCTGCCTGTCTGATCACCCCTAACCATCTCTGCCTGCTGGCCTGATGCCCCTAACTGCTCCCCTGCTGACCTGATCACCCCTAACTGCTCCCCTGCTGGCCTGATCACCCCTAACCACCTCTGCCTGCCAGCCTGAATGCCCCTAACTGCACCCCTGCCTGATCTTGCCCCTAACTGCTTGCTCCCCTGCCAACCTAGTCACCCCTAACTACTCTCCCCTGCTGGCCTGATCACCCCTAACCACCTCTGCCTCAGCCCCTGCCACTGTGGCTTTGTCTGGAAGGACATCAGACATCCGGAAGGCATCCGGTCGATCTGGTCTAATTAGCATATTACCCTTTTATTAGTATAGATATATATATGACTGAGAAAAAGTTATTTACCTGCTAACCATCATGCTAAACTAGTAAGAACAGATAAAGGTTAGAGCTCTAAAGACAGAAAGATGTGTGTGCTTTAAATCCCAGTTCCATCCCCATGACCTCTGTGGTTTGGGTGTGATGTGACAAGAAATAACAGATGCCTTTTTATAAGCACCTATTCTGTGCCAATATCTGTTAAGAACTTGACTTACTTTATCTCATGAAATCCTTACAACCTTAAGTTAATTAATATTACTATTCTAAATTTTAAAATGAGGATATCAAGGTTTAGATTAAATAACCATAAATATCACATTTTCAAAAGAAATAGGACTTTGCTACAACTCAACAACAAAAAACGACTGACCTGATTTAAAAATGGGCAAAGACATGGGGATCTTAAGTACATCATAGGGAGAAGAAAACCAAGATGGCAGTGTAGGTAAAGGTGGGTACTTGCTGTCCCCACAACCACATCAAAATTCCAACTAAAATACAAAGCAACCATGAGTCAAAACCTCCTGAAATTTGGCTGAATGGAAATCCTACAACTAGAGAAGTAAAGAAGAAAGCACATTGAGACTGGTAGGAGGGGCAGAAGCATCAACAGGCTTGTGGAGTGTTTTTTGTTTTGTTTTGTTGGTTTTTTTTATTATTATTGCTTAAAGTAATACAAAGGGTATTACATATGTGTCCATCCCCCCCCCCCCCCCGGCCCTAGACAGTCCCCTAGCCTCCCCTATCCCCCAGTGTCTTATGTCCATTGGTTATGCTTATATGCATGCATACAAGTCCTTTGGTTGATCTCTTACCCCCCTACCTCCTGTCCCCCAACCCTCCCCAGCCATCCCGCTCAGTTTGACAATCTGTTTGAGGCAGCTCTGCCTCTGTATCTATTATTGTTCAAAAGTTTATAATGGTCTCTATTATCCATGAATGAGTGAGATCATGTGGTATTTTTCCTTCATTGACTGGCTTATTTCACTTAGCATAATGCTCTCCAGTTCCATCCATGCCGTTGCAAATGGTAAGAGTTCCTTCCTTTTTAGAGCAGCATAGTATTCCATCGTGTAGATGTACCACAGTTTTCTAATCCATTCATCTACTGATGGGCACTTAGGCTGTTTCCAGATCTTAGCTATGGTGAATTGTGCTGCTATGAACATAGGGGTGCATATATCCTTTCTGATTGGTGTTTCTGGTTTCTTGGGATATAGTCCTAGAAGTGGGATCACAGGGTCAAATGGGAGTTCCATTTTCAGTTTTTTGAGGAAACTCCATACTGTCTTCCATAGTGGCTGCACCAGTCTGCATTCCCACCAGCAGTGCACAAGTGTTCCTTTTTCTCCACATCCTCTCCAACACTTGTCGTTTGTTGATTTGTTGATGATAGCCAGTCTGACAGGTGTGAGATGGTACCTCATTGTTGTTTTGATTTGCATCTCTCGGATGATTAGTGACTTTGAGCATGTTTTCATATGTCTCTTGGCTTTCTGAATGTCCTCTTTTGAAAGGTGTCTATTTAGGTCCTTTGCCCATTTTTTTATTGGATTGTTTATCTTCCTTTTGTTAAGTTGTATGAGTTCCCTATAAATTTTGGAGATTAGGCCCTTATCAGATATGACATTGGCAAATATGTTTTCCCACACAGTG